CCACCCCCACTAGTTTAGAAGTATGAACCACCCCATAGAAAGGCAACCCCGCTTAGAAGTATAAACAATGTTAAACAATCCACTTAGATGTTAAACAAAGCGCTTCGTGGAAGACAACCCCCGCTTTTAATTGCTTATGCCTTTATGTTATTTCATTTTGCAAGTTTGTTTCTTTTAATAAGGAACAAAAATTTAAGAGAATAAGGCAAAAGGAGCTTAATTTTTAAAATTCTCTTATAAGCTGCATTTTCCATCTCCTTCAGGAGATGCTTTGTATGTTTTCTCTTCGCCTTCTCTTCTCTTATTTTGGAACAATGGGGACAATGTCCAGTTTAATTTAGGAGAGGTTTCTCTCTATTAATTTTATCGCTTTATGTGTGTTTGTTTGTTTGTGTTTCTAGCTATATATACACAACTTTGAAAAATTTCCTAAATTTTGAGTCGTTTTAAAAAATTGTAAGGTTTTGATTTTATTGAGTAAAAAAAGTATCCAAATTAGAGAAATGATAGGATGGGTTTAGGGACCCCAGGAAAGCTTGATAAATTAGTATTACTTGAACATCCTAAGTTTCGCGAGTAAGATACGAGTTTAACGTATATTTTGTACCATAGCCTATGAACTTGAAAAATGCTTCCTAAGTAGTTTATCCTAGATAGTTTGTCATACCACTCATTTACATATCACATTTGATTGATTGAGGATAAATAACACCAAATAGTTGAAAATGGCAGTAAAACGAAATTGCACTTATTAAGTTGGGTAACCCTCACCCGGTTATTCAATCCAACGGTAGTTAAACTCCAAGGTCAACCTAAAAAAGAAAATAATTAATAAACACGCATTTGTGTGTACTCTCATCTCTATATAAAAAAGGACAACTAGTTTTTTTAGGTGTTGTAAATACTCAAATAACTTCCTTGATCGATCTTGTGTGTATGTAATGATTATTAGTATTCTAAATGCCTTAATTTGATTTTCCCAAACAAAAAGGAAGAAAAATCGAAAAGAGAGACTTAAGTCCAAAGCATAGTTAGAGAGGTATCTGAAACATGATGCTTTGGTCTATATTTTTGCTATACTTCGTGTCCTTGTAATACCTTTTGTGTCAAGCAAGTATAGGGAAAACTAGGTCTTGGCCGATCTGAATAAGAATTCACGTATGAATACTATTCTTTTCAATTACATAAACTTTGCATACTTTATTACATTGTCCTATTTTTCTGTTTGTAAGCTGAGATGCTTAAGGACAAACTGCTCAAGTTCAATAGTTAGTAGACCATTATTTCATTTGCACGAAATTAAGGAGATTAAATGTCAAAATTATGTATAAAGAGTGCATCATTAGCTTGAGAAAAGGGGGAGACATTTCATTATATTTTATTTTTCAATTTTAGTTTTTGTTCTAAGTTTTTCATTGTATTTCTTTACAACTCTTGCTATATTTTTTTGGATTTATTTATCTATTCAAGTATTATTTTCATCTAGGTTTATTGCTTTTACTTTATTTTCATGATATGTCTATTTTCTGTTTATTTGTGACTAATCTCACCAAAAGTGAGTAGTCCATTAGGGACAAGGGGTTGTGAGACCTTTCTCATGGTAAACCATGGTTGAATTTTCCTTATACGATAACGGGAAAAATAAGTGCAAAAAGTTATTTTAGAATCTGAATTCTTAAACATATTTATCTGAGTTGCAAAAGCAAAAGCAACTCAGATACCAATCATGTACTGAAAGGTAATGATTCGGTATTCGAGGATGGATTTCTAAGTAACCAAGTTGTGGTGCTACTGACAAGGAGTCTCACTCTTGGTTGAGAAATTCAGGTTGATTTAGAGTGAAGAAAATGAGGTACGAATTCCTCTAATATAGGAAATCTAAATCTTAATGGAGAGAGAAAATGAGAGAACATAGTGGAATTGATCAATTCTTCCCACGACCATGGAAAGTAACCGTTGGAGGCTTGGTCACCAAGAAAATGTGAGCAAAATTAATGAATTTTAAAGGATTGGTCAAAGGTGGAAATGTCTGCAGCAATTAATGCAACATATGAGAATGATGCATTTAATTAAAAAAATTAATATCAATTAATTTTTTTTATTTTGTATACCAAAAAATAATGCATAACCAAGGTTGAAGCCTGGTCAGACAGAAAGGAACCGTGTCAAGCCGATTGGACAATAGGAGATAGTGGGTGCACGTGAGATGGTTTATGGAGGTAGGTTCTTTTCCTTTTACAAAATTTTATACCTCTTAGGGCACATCCCAAGAGGCTAACATTTTTTATAAAGCACCAATACATTGAAAACAAAAAGATGCATAAAAAATTGGGGGACAATGCCAAGACTAATTCAAAACTTAGAGAATCTAAAAAAAGGCAAATCAAGCCTATTTTTTATAAAATCGTTCCTTATACCCAAAGGTAAGGAATAAAAAAGAGTAATTAAATTAGTTATAAGACCTATATTAGAAAAAAAATCAGCATAATTGTCATCATCTCTATATAAACACTACTAAAGTGTGGTATCCCTCCAATGTGGGACTTTAAAAAACTTTTTTCAAATTCATACTTTCACACACTAGCTCATACTCATGCTTATTTCTTAACAATTTCAAGTCAATTACTCCTTCATTTTCCAACAATCTCCCACCTGAATTAAAAAAAAGTGTTTTAGAAGTCACGTCAAATGTATATAAGATTTTAAATAAATAAAAGTATCTACAACTTGAACCTTTGATTATTAAGTAGGATTTTGATTTAATAAGAGTGACTCATGGTCTTGAACTTTATCTTAGACATCAAACCCAGACACAATCTTTTCTTAAACTGTATTGTATAATCTTGTGCTTTAATGGCTTTGCACATCCATCCTAATTTAGTGGAGGCTTTAGGAATTTTGTCTTAAAATTAAATAGCAATCGGCCTAAGTTTCACTATTACATAGGTGAATTTATCAAGAGTACTCTTATAGGTTGTTACTCCACTCATACATAGCATATATTTCATTTAAAGTATATATTAACTCATCCTTTTATCGCTTCAAGATTCATGCTTTTATCATTTATTCTAGCATAATCTTCTCATATTACTCACAACTTGTTATTAATCATTGAACCTAATTTTTGAAGATCTCCATTCTTTTAGGCCAAGTTACCATCATAAGAAACTCACTTATATATAGGAATTAATCTCATCTATATTATGGACTTTCTCTCTAGCTAATCTCTTCGTAAAAGAATCTGCTAAATTCTCATCATTGCATACATGATCCACTCTTACAGCTCCTTTAAAGATAAACTCTCTAATAGTATTGTGTTTTATTTTTATTTGATGTCTCTTACCGTTATAATAATGGTTCTCAATTTTTGCAATAACGTGGTACCATCGGAGTTGATCAACATAGGTGACATGAGTTTTTCCCACAAACGGATCTCTGTCGGCAAGCATCTTAGCTATTGAGTATAGAAAGTGTGAGTAGTATGGGTAATATATAGTCCTATATTGGCTAGAAATGTGGAGACTTGAGCATTTATAAGTGGGAGAATCCATACAACTATCACCTTAAGGTTTTGGGTGAATATGTGGTGTGTCTCTCACAAAGGTGTTGCTCAAAAAAAGAAGTCCCACAATGTTCAATGCTCCCTAGTGGAAAAAATTCCCAACATTAACCAACTTACTTATTCACTAGTAGTCGCTAATGTTATCATTTTAGACTGCATTGCGGACTGAGTCAATATATTGTGTTTCTTTGATTTATAAGATACAGTTTCTCCAGCTATACTGAATATATAGTCGGCACTTGCTTTGAATCATTTGAAGGTGTTCCAGTCTCCATCATTGCATTCTTCAAGTACAACATAAAATCTCCAATAATGTAAATCGATATTCATAGTCCTTTTAAGGTATTGCATGACTCTCTCAATAGCTTGCAAATACTCATTACTCAGTCTACTAATAAACTTGCACAACAATCTCACGACATATGCAATGTCGGGTCTAGTATAATCAAGCTCATAGTCTTTAACAACTCTTACTTTTTTACTTCTTTGAAAAAATAATAGACCCAAGCCTTATCGAGTTGGTCGGACAGACAGCAAGCGAACGCGTGGTGGTTTATGGTAGTGCATCCTCTCCCTTTTACAAAATTTTGTGAATCCTTTTGGACACACCCCAGGGGACCAAACCTCCACTTTATAAGCACTACTAAAGTTGGTATCTCTCCATTACGAGACTTTAAACAACTATTTTTTAATTCACACTTTCACACACTACCTAATAATCATGCTTATTTCTTACCAATTACAAGTCGATTAGTCTTTCAATTTTCAACATCGGACAATATAAAATAATTTTACACTAACATTTTTAAGAATTTTAAATAAAAAAAAATATTCTATAAAAAAATTAATCATTTTAATTATCAATATATTAAATACATATATTTTAAATATAAAAAAATACTATTTTAAAATCTTAAAAAGTGTGTTTAAAACATTCGGTAGCATTTTCCTATATTAAATCAGAAAAATATTTTAAAATTAATTATATAACATGATAGAGTAATAATTTTATATTGAGAGAAGAATGTCAAATTTACACTTTCTATTGAACTTTTAAATAGTTAAAACCAATAATGTGAAAAAATTCTAAAAAATAAAACTTATGAGTTAATCGTTTTTTTATTAAGTAATAAAAAATGAAAAAGATGGTATGGATTCGGTGGTGGAACATCAACAACGCTAACTCACTCCTCCGCACTTTGAAGAGACAGCCGCAGCAAACCAAACATACTTCGAATCCATATTTATGTGATTACTAATTAACGTAAATTTCCTCACCAATCATTTCCAACTTCAGAACCAACCATTCAATTCAACGAATACTCTATAGTTCAACCCATGATTCTCACACTCTAACCACTTCTACTACTCCCTACAAGAAACACCATAAAGCTTCCAAATTTATCACACACAACACTTCAAAACGTCTTTTTGGTTCATGGGTAGGAACAAAATCCAACTATCTCATAGTAAAACAGATGGGTTTTTCTCACTTTCTCATGAAGACTACTCTTATCCTGGAGGTTTGTTTGCTAGCGTTGGCCAAATGGGGATAGGGTTTGGTGTTCAACAACCCAATCCTTCTGATTCCAATGAAAATGGCGATGACCCTAAACTTCCTTTCAATGAATTATACATAAAGTATATTCAATCACTATGGAAATTTGAGGCTAATGGGGTTAAGGTGAAGGGTGAAGTGGAAGAAGGTGTTAAGGCAAAGAGTAAAAATGGTGGGTTTAAACTCAAGATTAAGATTAGGAATCCTTCTATTAGAAGGCTATGTAGTGGAGCTATTGCGGGGGCGATCTCTCGGACCACTGTGGCGCCATTGGAGACTATTAGGACTCATTTGATGGTTGGGAGTAGTGGTCATTCTAGCACTGAGGTTTTCAATGATATTATGAAAACGGATGGATGGAAGGGTTTGTTTAGGGGTAATCTAGTTAATGTCATTCGTGTTGCGCCGAGCAAGGCCATTGAGGTAATGCTTCGTACATACCACACTGCTTCTGTTTTTGTTTATCTCTAAATGATAGTTCTTGATACTTGGTTGTTTATAAAAATGTGTTTTTTTAACTAGATTGATTTGCTGATACCAAAGTTGAGTATAGTTTCTGAAATGATTGTGAACTTAAGCAGGTTTAGGACTTGAGTTTCTTTGATTTATATTGCCAGAAAACCTTCATATGATGGTGCTTTGTTCTTGTTTCTTGTATTTTAGGTGGGGTCTTAAATATATAAATGGCTCACCAGGTAAGTCAATGAGCAAGTATCTCTCTTTTAGTCTGTTCACAATTTTCTGCGGGTTAACTTTCTAACAGCCATGTTATCAAACGAACGTGATATATGAGTCTGTAGTCTAAACATTGTAGTTCTTCTTTATCTTAATTTATTTTCTCTGTTTCTGCAGCTATTTGCTTATGATACGGTAAACAAGAACCTATCCGCAAAGCCCGGGGAGCAGTCCAAACTCCCGGTTCCTGCATCACTGATTGCAGGTGCCTGTGCTGGAGTGAGTTCGACTATATGCACATATCCGCTTGAACTACTCAAGACTAGACTAACTATCCAGGTATGCACATATAATATTGGTTGCATTTTGATTGACTTATTTGAGTTTATCTACCGACATAACTTATATGTACTCGTGAGACTACTTGGAAGAGTTTATAGAAACAAGTCTATAAGTTGTTTTCACCTTATTTTCATAAGCTCTACAAGATAGCTTGTATGAAAATAGTCTATCTTTTGTTACGGAAATAATTTCAACAAAAATACTTTTATGATAAGTACTTATGCTATAAGCGCTTAATTTATGTGTTTATCCAAACAGATATACATAAGTTTGATTTCCCGTATTAATGTTTTAGCATCATATTTGAAAATAGAAGGGAGAAAGTACTTAAGCTTGATTAGTGATATTGCAGAGAGGTGTTTATAATGGTCTCCTTGACGCATTCGTGAAAATAATTAAAGAAGAGGGTCCTGCCGAACTATACAGAGGCCTTACCCCTAGTCTTATTGGTGTTATTCCATATTCAGCTACCAATTACTTCGCCTACGACACACTACGCAAAGCATACCGAAAATTCTTCAAACAAGAGAAAATTGGCAACATTGAAACCCTTTTGATTGGTTCAGCAGCCGGTGCTATTTCAAGTACTGCAACTTTTCCACTCGAGGTGGCTCGCAAGCAAATGCAAGTTGGAGCTCTCAGTGGAAGACAGGTTTACAAAGACGTGCTTCATGCGCTTGTTAGCATACTAGAAAAAGAAGGGATCCAGGGTCTATATAGAGGACTTGGACCTAGTTGTATGAAGTTAGTGCCAGCCGCCGGAATCTCTTTCATGTGTTACGAAGCATGCAAGAAGATACTTATAGATGATGACGAGAAGGAATAGAATGAATTAAGTGTTTTTGTTTCCACTGAAGCCAGGTTGTGGAACTGCTGCATACCTTTTTCAAGCATTTGGTTAACTTTTTTTGGGTTTTCTTGTATTATTGGATTTTTCCGTCACTCCCGCGAAAGTCTTGTATCTGAGAATGGAATGATGGTTTTTTTTGTTTATTTATATGTTGCAGCCAGGTTTTTCATTGTGTCTTGGCTGCATGTTTTCAAGGTCAAAATCTTCTTTGTAATCTTATTTACTGTATAGAACTCACCAGTCCTAATTTTGAAGTTAATTTTTGTTGAGAGTTTCTCATATCTTGGTCTACTTAGGATTAATCTTTGATGCATGAGAGTCTTACATGTCTTCTCTTAATTCTTCAAAAATTTCATATTAGATTCTTGTTTGTTAAAGATAGTAAAGTAGGCAAAAGCTAATTATGCATACTATTTACTACTTTAGAGTAGATTTGCTTTGGATTTTATTATCCCCCTAACAAGCAAGCTTATTGTTTGACAATATATTTGTAATGTATTGTTCAGCTTTATGCAACTTAACAACATAATGTTGAAGCTGCTAATATAGCTACATTAGAGCATACACGGTATGTTGAAGCTGCTAATGTTGAGGGATGGAAAGCTGCCATGTAGGAGGAGATGAAGATGATAGAGAAAAATCAAACATGACAGCTTGTAGGCAAACGAAAAAATCAAAAGATTATTAGTGTTAATGTGGGTTTATATAGCCAAACTCAATCATGATGGTTCTATAAAAAAACTTAAGGCCAGATTGGTGGTAAAAGGTTATTTTCAACAATATGGTGTTGATTCCTCAGACACTTTTGCACCCGTTACAAGACATGATACAATTAGGTTGTTGGTTATCGTAACAGCAAAATTGGGATGGAAAATTTAGCATTTTGATGTTAAATCAGATTTTTTAATGGGTTACTTGATGAAGACATTTATGCCGGCCAACCTGAAGGTTTTAAGGTTGCATGAAGTGAAAACAAGGTTTACAAGTTTCACAAAGCCCTCTATAACTTAAAAAGCACCCAGAGCATGGTATAGCGGAATTGATGGCTATCATTTGCAAAGAGCTTTTAAAAGAATTGAAACATTGTAATTTAATAACAAGATCAAGACCTTATTAAATGACAAGTGAAACATTTAAGACTTGGGAATCCTCAAATGCTTCACTTGTGAAAGACAATGACTCATATTACATGATTTTGATATACCATATTTATCTCCTATCATCATCTATTGTGACAATAAATCAATCATTGCACATAGTAGTCAATCCTATTTTCTATGAAAGAACAGAGCACGTTGAATTGAATACTTGTAGTTTCATGTGACTTTTAAAGAAGTTGCAGACATTTTAACCAAACTTTTACATTGCACTCTGGTCCTTTCAATAGCTTACAAAAAAAAGTTAGGAATCATTGACATATGATGTACTAATTGTAATGTCCTGAATGACAAGATGCTTAAAAATAAAAATAAGTTAGTTAAGCTTCATAAGATTATCCAACACACTAAATAAGTGTGAATCAATAGTACTTTGTAATATTTCATTTTTTGTGAAATAAGAAGCTTCATAGGATTATCCAACACACTAAATAAGACGAATGCTTATAGAGTAACATACAAATGCTATCAAAATATTCCTTTTTAATAGAAAATTATCACAGGATCTTTTTAATATTCTCTTCATAAGTATAAAATTGTCCAAGTTGTTTACTTGGTGTTCCAAAATTCAGTTAATAATAATTTATGCAAAGTCTTTATTTTATTTTTTTTTACCACAATTTGTTTGGATATTTCAGAACCATTTTATTTAGAACAAGATTTACCTACAAATAGGTGTTTTTCTACCAAATATAGAATTTATATATTTCAAAGACTGTAACAAAGGAATATATGATAATGGCAACCATCAGAAAGTGAGCTGAATAAAGGACATACATGCATTTCATTATAAAAACAAACCTTAATCTTGGTCACTCACACAATCCAGACCATCAAAGTATTATATCCAATGTTCAAATGTAAGAGCACACTAGACAACCACTAGACAGTACATTACACCTTGGTTGCTTTAACTATATTACTGTCATAAACAAATTTTATACTATGTGGACAAAAAATACAACATTGACACCTCTCAACATAACTATCCTTGTAAGGACCCCAAAGGGGAAACATGTGAATAAATAAACAAAAGAAACAGGAATTCTATGCTGGTTTATAACTTTATCTCCCATCCTATTTTTCATGCATAAATAGGACTAACTCCAAGCTGAATTCTTGTTTATATACACTTCTGCAATCTTGAATGTCTCTTCAAATCAAAAGGGGTGTGTGGTAAAAATACAAAATGAATCTTCCAACATAAACACTAACAGTTGATACCACATTGGCCATTGGCTGATGCTTTGTTGGGATCAGTGATGAAGGGGTCAATCCTGACCCACAATAAGGAGAATATAGAAGCAAGGAGAATAGACCAGACGATAACGATCGTCGGAGTACGATTTTGTCTCCCCAATAGACCCTTCAAGAAAGGGTATAAATGGGCAATCACCCATATAGCAAAGAAAAGTTTTCCAAATAGTGGACCCCAAGATTGGTAACCACTGTTTATGGCAAAAGATACACCAGCCACAATACCTACCAAGTTCACAATAAGCACTGTTGTAGGAGGGATGAGAAGTGAGGTCCATTTGAACACGTATAGCTCGGCAAAGTCCCCGTCTTCGTCTGATGCCTTTGATGTGACAGTAAAATTTGTGTCAATCCCTGCAAGCACTTTGAGAAGCCCTTGGAACACGGCGAAAAGATGTGCAGATGTTCCACCGATAACCCAAAACTGTTCGTTTCTCCACCAATCTTCTATACCGACACCACTCCACCTAAGCTCGAGAATCGAAGTAGTAAAAATGGATATAAAGAGAAGGATAAACCACATGCTTGCAAAGTTACTTATCTGCATAAGATTAACCGAATGTCAGGATCCAGAGTTAGTAGTTATAAGTTTAACAGCCAGAAATAAGATAAAAGAAATCGTTTACCTCGGGAATAATAAATTTATTTGTGAGAAGACAAAATGCAGGAAGTGTACAGTATGCAATCAGCGGGAGTGAGGTAAAGGGGTAGACAATTGTGTTGATATAAGCAAGCCTCATGAGAGGTCGCATCCTTCCGTTGTAGCCATACCATAAAGGACAATGTCTGCTAAGGAAGATCTCAATTGAACCCAAGGCCCACCGAAGCACTTGATTGAGACGATCAGAAAGATTGATGGGCGCAGAACCCTTAAATGCTGGACGAGGTGGCATGCAATAGACGGAAATCCAACCACGTGCGTGCATCTTAAACCCGGTCAAGATATCTTCAGTCACAGAACCATAGATCCATCCAATCTGGTGAAGTCATAAAATGATTATTAATAGCTAAATAAACAACCTGCTTATCAATCACACGATATGAATAGACATGCTCACCTCTTTGCCCCATTCTGTCTTGTCTTCATAACCGCAACTGATAACGTGTATTGCTTCCTTAAGAAGAGTTGCGGGATTGGTTGTAGGTGGAATGCCACCCTGCTCCATGAAGGTAGCAGAAATAAAAACTGGTGACTGTCCAAAACGCTTCTCCAAGCTCTTCTGAGACATTAGGAGTGACCTTTCATCATCATAACCTGCAAAAAGACATGAAATATCGTTTCTTAGACAATCTAAGTATATCTGACAAACAAGCTACATCAAACAATTTTCTTACGTGAAAATTAAATTTTAAGTTCTAAAAGGGCATGAACTGTGAACAGGGGAGTTAGAGGAGATATGTTATAGTAATAGCATACCTTCAACACCCTCCTCTATATCCTCCATATTAAATATGGGAATGGTGGATTCAGTTCTTTTAACACCCCTCTTTTTGTCACCGTACTTCTTATTGCCACCCCTTCCCTTCTTTCTAGAACCACAACAGCTCTTCACAATTATGTTAGGTTCAAGATCTTCCTCGGTCAAAACAGGATCATAACCATACAAAGCTTGCCTATTGAAACAGCAACCAGTTCCCACATAGACTGGGCCCTGAATACCATCATGACCTTTCATGTTGATCTGACAGATAACAAAAAATGAGGTTCAGCCAACTCAACGGAGAGTAATGCAAGGAGAAAAATTCTTAGTTACAAAAGAGTAAAGACGTACATCGAAGAAGACAATATTGCGATTGGCATATCGATCGTGCAAGTCAATGCCATCAAATCTCTGAGGAAATTGCACATAGCATGTCTTCTTTGCATAGGCAGGATCCATCATGAAACACATTGCTTCTCTCAGAGCTTTGCTATTATTGAAGTAGTGATCACAATCAACATTCAACATATATGCACCGTTGGTCAAAACAGCAGAAACTCGAATCTACATCACACGAAATAAACCAAGGTTAGATACATTCAAAACCTCTCTCTCTAATAAATATTATTGTCACATCAGGGACATAGACTCGATAGGAACAAAAACAAGACACAGGACAAAAGCAGGACACGGCCAAAATAAGGCAGACAATACCGAAAACATAAAATAAAAAGTTTCAGTATGACAAACCAAAGCATTCATAGCTCCAGCCTTCTTGTGATGTTGGAAGCCAGGTCGCTTTTCACGAGAAACATAAACAAGCCTAGGCAGCTCATTACCATCTGTGTCAAGCCCTCCGCTATGACCTAAAAACACCTGCATATCACAATAATATAAGTAAACCGAAAATATCAATAACAGCAGAGGTTTTATGCGTCAAAGAGAAACTCATAATACCTGAATCATTCCAGGATGATCCCTAGAATTATTTCCGGGCCAAGGAGTTCCATCCTGCATCGTCCAACCTTCCTCTGGCGTCTTCTGAGCTTTGGCAACATAGGCATTGATCCCTACTTTGAATTCTTCATATTCTCTCTGTTAAGCACAAATATCCATACTTAATTTTCTTCACACATACTCTCTCTTGGTATGCTAAACATGTCTAGATATAAATATTGAACTGGAGATAAAAACGTGATTAATGCCTCAAAACAAACCTTCATTGCTCGTCGCTCCTTTACAAAAGAAGGTTGAATCTTGTCCTTTAAGTAATCAATCTTCTGGGCAAAATAAAATTCAGGGGCTCTAGGCTCAATATTGTGCTTTTTGCAAAAGGGCACCCACTTCTTTGCAAACTCAGCTGTTTCTGATAAGGCTTCAAAAGTCAACATAGCTGAACCATCATCTGATACATAGCAGGAAACCTTGTCGACAGGGTAATCAACAGAGAGTATAGACAAAACAGTATTTGCAGTGACAAGAGGCGGCTCTTTGAGAGGGTCCACTGTACTGACAAAAACGTCAACAGGAGCCAACTGTGATGGTTCTCCGTCACGATCATATCTACACAAGACAAACGAAGATTAGCAGAATAGAAAAAGTCGCATCAAAGTTAAACCAAGGCAAGTCCAAAAGGGAAGGGAAACCGATCAATCCAAACCTTATAGCGAGCCTGTCGAGATAAGTCTCACGGTTAATGGGCGACCACTTTGGAAACTGATCCAAAATCCAGGATAAGGCAAACCAAATCTCACAGATAACTGATGTCAACCACAGTGGATATGCATCATTTACAGGGTGAGTTACACGATATTGCAAGAAGAAACCAAGAATTATCAGCCGGAGTACGATGACAACACGATAAGGGGTCAGTTGAGATGAAGAAATAGGTACAATCCGACTCATAGGTTGTCGAGCATCATCAACCCTGTCAAAAACAAAATCAATGGACCATATAACTTGAAATGAAATTCAATCCGAGTAAATACTTAAAGCAAACTCAACTAAAATTTCATAAGCCTAACATTCAAAGCAAGTCATAATTAGTAACATACATAACATTAGGTTTAAACATAACACAAACGAGTCCACAAAAGAAAATACTCCAAGCCTAGACTCTAGATCAAATCCCTAACAAGACAATAAGGATAATCATCTTTCCATAACATAAAATTTGCATCTTCATTAATCTCACCACTTCCTCCTTATCCATCACCACTTTCCACAGCATTAGGAACCTGAAATTCATCTAGATGTACACTAGGGTTGCACTACTTCCACCTCAACATGTGAAGAGATATGCAGAGAGGGTAAAGGCAAGGTGAAATTTTAGTGCACATAAAGAAATTAAAATCTGAGTTTAGGGGAATCAGGTCAGACAACCCGACCTTAAAAAATGGCCCTCTGGCATATAAATCATTTAACATCTAACAAAACAGCATAAGTGACTTACATTTGAAGTTCTTCTCCATTAGAACCAGTCCCTTCAATATCTCCTCCTCCTCCTTTCCCCTCAGCATATCTACCAGTCATTTGTACCATATTTTTCTCGTGCTTCAACTTCCAACCTTCAACCCTTTCCTTCCAGTCGACATTTCCCAAACCATAAGAATTTAAGTCCTTTGAAGGATCCACAATTCTCACCGGAACTATAATAACAAATATACAGTCAAATGAAGAATCACAATAATATAAGAACTATAAAATATAGCACAACTTCAAATTAACACTATACCTGGTTGCCTTGGATCGATATAGGGAAGTGCGTGACCTTTCTCAGATGGACCCAAAGGACCTGAAGTAGTTCGGATTGATTGAGTATCGGGTGTAGCACATGGGATCTCACCAGACATCTGTCAACATTAAATCCATTCAGCAAAGAAAACTCCACCTTTAACATCTTATGAACGTCGATATTAACTTGTTCATTAAAGCACAAGAATAAAGACTACTAAAGTGAGATCCAATAATGGAAACCATATATAATCCTAAAACAGATCGATAGATTACCGTTTGACCATTGGTAAGAAGGGGAATCGGTTGCTGATAATCGCGTCTAGAAGACGAAGACAGGTCGGCATCATCTTCCCATTGCCTCCTTGACTTTGTATTCCCTTGTCCATAATTGAACTCATTTTCTATATCATCACCATCATCTTCATCATCATCTCCATCCACTCTAGGACTCCCTAATATATCCAGATTCATCATTTCAAATCAAAACCAAGATCCATAAAAGACCAAACCAACAACACAAACTAACTAACCAACCTTTGTGTCTTTTGTATCTAGTTTTGCACTGAGGACAAGATTGATTCCCATCTTTTCGCTCATATTCATAACAAGGTCGACAAACCGGGAAACCACACTCATTACAAGCAACAAAAACATCACTAGTAGCTGTTAATCCAACATTTTCACCACATATTTGACAGATTTGTCCGTTCAAATTCTTCAATGGTTTAGGCTGTATGGTAAATAAAGAATATCTATATTAATAATCTAATTAACTTAATTAATTAAATTCATACCATATTATACCAAATTTATACCAAAGTTAGAATTAAAAACATGACTCAATTGAGTCCATGACCAACCAGATCCGATCTAAACTTAGGATGATGCAGAGAAGCATAACAACAACATTGTAATTAAGGTTTAGATTACAAACCCCGCTGTCGGAAGAATCGTGACGAATCCGAACAAGCTCGTTCCGTTTGTGGGATCCAGCAACCATTCCGGAAGAAGCTTCCATCTTATTCTTGTAACAGTGATTGATGCAGATCAATGAAGTTGAGTTCACGATCTGCGTTTCGATTCAGTGGCAAAGCATGAAAATCTTCGCCTACTCAACACGCCATTTTTTTCTCACTTGTACTTTGCTTATTGCAACACACTGCAATACAACTAGTGTTGCTGTGTTGTGCTCTTTTTTCTCTGTATGTTTTATTGTTATTATTGTTTTACCGGCTGGACCGGTTTATCCGGTTTTATTCGCGAGCCGTTTTGTTCTATTTTCTACGGTTCGGCTCGTTGTCTTTTGGGAATAACCAGTAAGATAGATACACGTGTCACGAATTGTGATTATTGCCATGCCGAATATTTCATTAGATGGCGCCAGCTGTGTGATATGTCACCGGTTGCTTCCGGTTTTCGTTTCTGTGGCTGTCGGTGCCTATCGGTTAGTTGAAATGTACTCTATCATTGACCTGAAATTACATATTTAGCCTTTTATTACATGCTTAAAAACCTGAAATTACATATTTAGCCTTTTATTACATGCTTAAAAATAATCATAATCGATCCAAACATACAAAATAATCCTGCTGTCTAGCTCATTTTAACAGAAATAATATTTATATTTTATTTATTTTCTTCTTTTAAAGTCTTCACTATTTTATTTTGGACTGTTTATTTTTAGTTATGGTTATTATTATCATAATTCATAATAATAATAATAATTTTTCATTTGAACCAAAAATAAAAAAAGAAATGTGAAAGCTTTCCTTATTTGTTTTGCTAGTAGAAGTCCCAATAACTCCTGTATATATTTTATTATAATTTTTTTAATATATTGACAACTAATTTTTCAAAATCTAGATCTTGTCCTTTTTGGAGAATAAATAAAAAAGGAATGGTTAGATTCAAGATATTTTATTTAACCGACGGTGAGATTTCCGCCAAACCACACAGCTTTTTGGATGGAAACAACTTTTGCCAGTTTGCAATATTGCATAAATACTAATAATAAATGGAAGAAAAAAATGTATACAAACATTAAATAATTCCTAATGTATTTGACATTTCAACACTCTTTTTTGAAGAATTTGACTGTCGGTGTTACAACCAAACAAATAATCACCAACATCGTTGGTGAAACATTTTTCTTCCATATGTTTATAAGATTTCTCATTTTTCACATAGCTTCTTGCATAAGTAAAAACAACTCAGAAAATAAAATCTTCAAGCAGATTCTTTAGCAGGGTGCTGATAAGGAAGGCGCTCTTCTGGAACTCCATCCTGGGCGCGTCTGTCTTCAAACCACTTGATAACTCTTTTCCGCGGAATGTTTGTAAGATGCACAATGTTACTAATCAATGTATTCTGCATTTTAATTCAAGGCAGACAGATAAGGATATTGAACTTAAGAAATTATGCAATAAGTTGAATTGAAAAGTTATTATGTTAACTACCAAGAGTCTTGTTTGTCACTATTAATACATACTAATATGCAGCGATAGTGTTTAATAACTGTCTATAGAATATACTACAAAAGAAACATATAAGTTGACAGTTGACATAGTGAGAGGAGTTAATCTTTTATTGTAGAAGGAATTGCTACAATGTGGAGAAAAATGGAGTACATTAAATCAGAACAAGTAGTTAAGCCGATGGCAAGTTTTACTTACAGTGGGCCGCTTTGATCTCGCGTAAACTCTCTCCAGAGTGTCAAGGTGGATCTTTTTCAATCGCTTTCGAGAAGACCAATCCTGTTGCATGGTATGAATAGGTAAGTTAGGCTTGGGTACAGATTCTGCTTGATCTGCACTTGTTTCTTGATAAAAATTCTCTGCTGGCGTAGTTATTGCTGATGGTGTGGGTTCATCAGGTATAGATAAGCTCATCATCAGAAGATTCGGAGGAGGGTTACGAAGCAAATCAAGAACAATATCTCTATCAAGACAGAGATCAGCGGCAAGAGTTTTTATCTGCAACAAATTGGAAAAATAATATTAAGAAATGAAAACCAAATCATTCCATCATCTGATACATTTTAGTTATGGTCAGAGTAATCAGATATTTCTATTATCTATAAACTCAGACTTTGCAATATATATCTATAACAACAACCAAGTCTTATCTCACTCTTATCTCACTAAGTGGAGTCGGACTATATGGATCAACTTCCACCCTAATGTTATATCCAGAATCATGCTTCTATATGAGACTTATTTCCAAACCCTAAACCCTAAAGAGACACTATATCAAAATTAAACTCAAAACTCTTACACTTATTTTGCGGCGTCCAGCTTTCAAGGCTCTTGCCAATTTATTCAATTGCCAAGTTCTAAGGTTCAGCGAATTATCACTTCCATCCTTGCTGGTTTTTTCATTCTGTGTTTCCGCAGTATCTGAGTTCAAAGATTCACCATCAAAATCACCTAACAAAGCTTCCAAATCACCTTCTAACATAGCCATTTCCTCTTCCGTTATTTCGTCGTCGTCGTCCATATCGTCTATCGATAAGTCATCGTTTTTGAGATCTTCTTCAAGTTGCTTGAAGAGCAGTTCAAATGCATCTTCCTCCTCTTCATTCCCCTCTGTAACATGAGTCAATTTTTTCTGCAAAATACAAAGCATGAACACAATTAAGTATTTCTAAACTATTAATTGAATTGGATATTGTTGAAATTGAAATAACCTTGTTTTTCTTTTTAGAAGAGGCGGTGACAATTGAGGATGAGAGGTTCTGAGAGCGAGAAAAGGGAGTGACGGAGAAGAGAACTGGTTTTCGTTGCAAGGGAAAGGAGCCGGTTCCTCCGACAGTGAGGAAATTAGCACTTGATAAACAGTGGTTCGACATGGCTGTTCTTCTCCGAATGTATCTTGTTTTACCAGTTACCGCCGTGAGGCTGGGATAGATGGTTTAGATATTTTATCATGAAATTGGACAAAAATACCCATATCCTTACATTTAACCCTACCCCTGCAACATAAAAAATTGAACAAAAATATCTCATATAAATATCCAATAATTTAAAACTCTCTCACGTCCAAACTTACTAATAAGTTTTTCGATTTATATTTTCTAAGTTTATTAGAGTTTGGTCTAACACAGTTAGTAAGGTGAGAGGTGTCACTCTATATAAACTATTTCAATGTTATATCTCCAACCAATGTGGGACTTTAGGATCTTCCTAACAAAGTTTGTTTTCTGGATAACTTGTGGTGAAGTTATTCGATTTGTATTTTCTGCACACCAGATAACTTGTGGTATAGTTATCCGGTTCTTCTCTTTTTTTCACCGAATAACTATACCACAAGTTATTCGGTGTGTAAAAAATACAAACCGGATAACTTCACCACAAGTTATTCGGATAACAAACTTAAAAAAGGTAAACCAGAAAACTTACTAATAAGTTCTCCTGAGTGCAAAACATGAACCGAAAATCTTGTGTTTGAGCTTTTCGGAAATCAAAAAAATTCCATAGAATTTTCACGCTCTAGCCGGAAGAAAATGAGAAAAAAGTAAAAAAATTATACAAGGGTATTTTTGTACAATCTTTAATGTTGTAGGGGTATGGGACTAAATGTAAGGATATGGAGTAAAATTTTAAAATTTAAATATTAATATGTTTTAATTTTTATTTGTACCAAGGCTATCAGATTATATATAAAAGTTAAAATTAAAAATAAATAAAAAAGTTAATTTATAGTTTCACAAAAAAAATATTAAAATATAAAATGAGAATGCTTATTAAGAGTGATCATAGTAAAATTAAAATTCTAAGAAGTGAGTGAGAATCTTTGTGTTCTTATGTGTTTTGTATATGTTATAAGTTCTTCTTCTTCGTGTTAGGGAAAAGGTATTTATAGAGGTTCGTGGGTTTAGATTTAAGGGGTTCTTATGAAGTGACGATTGTTTCACCTTGACTAGGGGAGTTGTTGATTACCTACTTCTTAGGGAGTCATGGACATGATTGTGCGCGTGTAGTTATGGACTGAGTAAACGTCACCATCCATGTTTCCCCTTTGGACAAGGCCCCAACTATGTGAGGCTTATAGGCTTCAAGCAATGCATTATAAAGTAGGCACCTAGCGAAAGCGAGACATGTGTCACCCCATTTGTGGGTAATTTGTGAGGGGATATAACCCATAGTTAATCAGGGCATCGCAAATTTATGGCTAGGGGATAAACCCCTCACAAATTTAGCTAGGGGGTAAGTCCCTCGCAAACTGTAACTCATAAAATCCAGTCTGCTACACAGCAGGCATAGGAGCAACCTAGTGACACAGAGTGACACAGACACGTCATGTAATTTGCTAGGGATAAACCCCTAGCTAAAGCATCTGAGTTTTGCATTTGGTGAGGGGTAAAGCCCCTAGCTAACTATGTCAGACATTTGCGATGGGTAAAGCCCCTAGCAAATTGATTTACGTTTTGGACTTTGTGAGGGATTTAACCCCTAACTAATGTTTATAATATTATAATAAAAAAGTTATAATCATACTTTCTAAATAAAAAATTATACCTGTAACACATAAAATAAAATAAAAAATTAATTAGTAAATGCAAATTATAAATTAATAAAAACTATAGTAAAACAATAATATTTACCTAATTTTAGATTGGTAGAATATTTGAAAGAAGAAAAAAGGGAATGTTTGATGGAAGTTGTTTTTACTATTAAAAAATGAGAGAAAAATAAGGGTGGCTAATGAGAAGAAAAATGAGAGAGAGAGAGAGAGAGAGAGAGAGAGAGAGAGAGAGAGAGAGAGAAAGAGAGAGAGAGAGAGAGAGAGAGAGAGAGAGAGAGAGAGAGAGAGAGAGAGAGAGCAGAAAAGCGAGAAAGTAGAAAAATGAAAGTGAGAGAATAACATGTCTGCAAAAGAAGAAGGAACTTGTATTTATGATATGCAACTGGTGAGGGGCTGCCCCTAGCTAAATGAGTGGATATAATTAGTGAGGGGTTGTCCCTAGCAAATGTTGACATGTTGCATGCACCTTTTTGTCAGGTAGCAGGCTTTAACAGATAGAATAAATACTTTTTATGACAGATTTGACTTAACCATAACAAGTGGTGAGGGGCTTCTTCTAACTAAATGAAGGAATATAATTGGTGAGGGGTTATCCCCTCGCAAATGATAATATTTGCCAGCACATTTTTGCGTTTTTTTTTTGCGAGGGGTGACCCCTAACAATTTCCAATTTCAAAATTCAAAAAAGAAAATTCTCCCATATTTGCGAGGGGTTGCCCCTAGTGTTTGATATAATATTTTGTGCATAGTGAGGGGTTTAACCCCAAGCAATGTTGTTTTTTTAGTGAGGGGGTTTATCCCTAGCAAAATCCCCTAGCTATACAAGGTTTTTCTTGTAGTGGTAGTTAGGGGCGAGTCCATCAGTCAGGGGTGAGTCTCTCGGTCGGGGCAAGTCTCTTAGTCAAGGGCGAGTCCCTCGATCATGAGTGAGTCCCTCAGTTGGGGGCAAGTCCCTCGGTTATGGGTGAGTTATCACCCTCTCTGCCAAGTATTTTTTGTGTGGCTTATATGTCAATCGAGGGATTTCAAACATCATTCAAGTTAAAACGTCACTAGTTAAGAAATATGATGGGTTGAGGTGATTTGTGGCCCAAACCAAAGAAATATAGTTGTTTGAAAAATTAGCCATTTTGAGTGGGTGTGAGGTGGAATCTGAATCTGGCATGCATGAGATGGTTTTGTTGTGTCCTTGGTGAGTGGAAAAGAGAGAGAGGAGAAAAATCATAATGAAAGGGTGGAGGTAGCACACTTGTTGTGCAAGTTTTCAATTTCTCTTATTATGGTAATATGGTGAAAAAGTATGCATGAATGGTACATGATTTGTTTGGTTCTTAGGTAATGCCTTTGTGAGCAAAAGAAAAGTATTATGTGTGAGTGAGTTGGTAGCAAACCATGTTGCAATAAATGTTCAAGTTTCATGCAAGAAAAGTTCAAGAATAATGCATTAAAACCAAACTCACATAGTCATCTTTGAAACATAATATCTTGATGAACTTTGGCTCAAATGGTGAGTTCTTGTATTCCATGCAAAGCTAAGACCATAATGAACAATTTTCATGTTGATGGAAGGGTGAAACAAACCTTGAAAGTTTGAGAAAAATGGAGTGTAAGTCATGTCTAAAATTTTGCCCAAGATAACTTAGAAAAAATCTAAGTTATGAAACTTTTGACATCATTGACACCTTGACTTTAAAAACACATAACTTGAGTTCTACACGTTTAATGGAAGAGTTCTAATACTTAAAAGAAAGCTTGGAGCCTTACAAATTTCATGTTCAATGAAAAGTCATTTGAAGTTTGTATTATCATGTAATATAGGCTTGAAAACATGTACTTCAAGCTGAATTTATATACTTAGAAAATTTTCTAAGTCTTGAAATGACAAAACCTCCATTTTCTCAACTTTAGCTCTCCATATCTCCCAAATTATGGATCTTTTGACTTGCTTCCTTCCATAAATTTGTATTTCATGGTGTCTTCTTTAATTTGATAACAAGTTTACTTCCATTGGATCAAGGATGAGAAAGTTATGGAAGTTGCAAAGTGGCTAGAATTAGGGTTTTCTACACTTAGAAAATATTTCATCAAAACCCTAGTTCAGCCAATCTCCTGATTTTATGTTTCCTCTTGACTTTACTTGTTCCAAACACATGAAATCACTTGAAAACACCTAGCATACCCTTGGTTGACCTTAAGATCCAAGTTTTTGACCCCATCGAATCACAGTTGACTTTTGTTGACCAGATGAAACCCTAGGATCATCTCCACTGATTGAAGCTCTTATGATGGTTTATGGAGACACATACTCCATGTAGAGGACCCTCAAGGTATGTATTAAGCTTCAGAATCACGTCTTGCCCAAAGAACTAGCCACATATCTCCTCTGAACCAAAACCCTAGTCCAATTGTCCACAAGATAGGAGGAGGTGATCAATGCTTGAATTCTTGATTCAAGTGGTTGTGTGACATATCTTGATGATGATGAAGACCTTGTGACCTGAGATTGCCACAAAGTTGAGCATGAACCCCTGATTGAGCCTTAATCCCCTGTCTAAGAACCCATGCTATGCACTAATGCCAATACAAAATGATATGAAACATAAGCCAAGATATAAGAAAAAGGATGAGCAAATTTTGGGATGCTATATCTGCCCTTATTCAAACAACTTGGACCTGAAGGGATAAAGAGCGGCCGCTTTCAAACATTCAAGATAAAAGGTGATTGAATACTAAAAGAACCCAAAAATTTGCAACCTATGGGAAAATACACAGTGCAAAGATTGTCAGCCGAAGGTGGACTTAAAAATGGCGGGTACCAACCAAAAGTTGGGATAACCGAAGAACACAAAATACCAACTAATAGTTAGGATGGCAAATGGTAACTACTTTAGGATATAATAATGGCTACTAATCAAAAGTTAGGATTACCAGAGAGAACAATGACCAAAAGTTGCGAGAGACAAGCTGCTAACCAAAAGTTAGGATCACCCAGACGCCGACCGAAGGCGAAAACACAAACAAAGAAGAATATCAACCAAAAGTCAGGATCGTCATGAGGAATACCAACTAAAAGTTGGGATGAAGGCTACTAACCAAGAGTTAGGATCACCGGAACACCGAACAAAGGCGAACTCACTGCAACGAAGTCTACCAACCAAAAGTTGGGATAACGGCTCCACAGGAGAAATAATAGAGGACTACCAACCAAAAGTTAGGATAACATCCAAGAAACAATGGACTACCAACCAAATGTTGGGATAACATCCAAGAAGTGACAACAAACAAAAGCTGGGGCAAAGGCTACTAATCAAAAGTTAGGGTCAC